GTGATTATCGGCTCTTGACGGCCTTGGGGCCGTAACTTAGGTAGATATGGCGTGAGATGGCCTTGGGGCCATGGCTCGAACTGACTAGGCACATGATGGCCTTGGGGCCATACTTCCATAGATTGTGGCTCAAGACGACCTTGGGGCCGTGGTTCAGATGAGCTGGGTTCATCTTCCCGCACTTCAACAACTGAGCATTGAACAATACCGCTCATCTCCAGTTCTACTGTAGTTCGCAACGGGTAGAACGGGTTTTTTTTTAATAAGTCTTTCGAGGTGGAAGACTCTGACTTCTTTCTTACGAGTAACACTTTTATACCTTTTTGCTGCTTGATTCTTAAACTCCAGTAGATGTGCTTCCAGAACTAGAATTGGGCGTGGCTTCCTGCTTGATTGGCCTGCCTTAAAGAGACTAAGGCAAAGTCAATTAGTTCAGGTAAGGCATGATGCCCCGGGAGTAGGGAGCTAGGGGTCACCTTTGGAAGCTTGGTTTTGTTCAAAGAAGGGAGGCGATGTTCCATTGCCCTGGGGGGCATGATTTTGCCCCGAGTCCAAACTCGAGGGCGAGCTCGTACATGGGATGTGAAAGCGGTTGACAACCGGGCTCGATGAACCCCCTCTCAGACAACCGCTCAATCCACGTGCGCGTGTGCGCCTCGCATGCTGTGTGCGGATAGGTATTTCCATTGGTGAGAAGATTTTAAAGCGGTAAAGAGGTCGACTCAAACACCTACCTCACCGCGGTTGAGTTTGTGGAATGCGTTCGGGCCTTAGCCCTCTTAGACCAATTACAAAAGCCCTCCGGCTGTACAACAACACGTTTTGAATCAGCCCTCTCTCTAAACTCGACATCTCACTTTGATTCTCAGTAAAGGACTACTGGCAGAATCCACTTATGGTAACCTCCCCTTAATATACTTTATGGGTTAATAGTTCTAGTCTTAAAGGCTAGAGTAACGGGAAAAATAGATAAGAAAGAGAAGAATAAGAGTGCGTTGATGAGAGCTTGGTTTAGAGGTAAAAAGAAGAAGAAGAAGAGATGGAAGAAGTGAAGGGATGACCCGAGAATCGGGCAGCCTTCCAGCGTAACATCTCCTAAGAGGTATTACCGGAGACAAGGGAAAGCACTAGGTTCAAAGCCTTGGTATTGGAAAGTGGAGTTACGAGACATGGCTCGTAACTAAGTCACTAACCCAAAGAGCCCCCTAAAAGTGATCCAGTGAGAGAAGAAAAGAGAGTGGAAGATATAGAAATCTATCACAGCTCGAACACTATGTAACCCGGTGGTTAGAGTAGTTCAAGGGTTAAAACTCTAAGAAAGTTGTTTTAGGATGACCCCAGCTCGAGTGATCGAGCGCAAGATAATATGTCTCTTATGACTTAACAACACTATGTGAACTGATGGTTAGAGCAACAGCCTGAGAGTTAGAACCCTAAGACACTATCTCAAAAAGACCCCGGCTCGAGTACTCAAGGGTGAGAGAAGAGATGAGTGAAGAGAGAATAATAAAAAAATGAAATGAAATAAGAATAGATGGATGAGAGGTGAGGGTATGAGTTAGAGAGAGAGGGGAGTATTAGAGTGAGAGGGAGAAGAGTTAAAGAGATGAAAAGAGGGTGGACCTGCCTATGGCGCGGCTTCATGCATCTTGGAGGGGTAGGTAGAAGTCAGCGAGGGTAGGATAGAGATGAGGGTAGAAGGGAGCCGCCTATAACGCGGTCCGTACATCTAAGGGGGTGAGAGAGGGTAAGAGAGGGTAGGATATAGAGGGAGAGGGACGGACCTGCCTTAGGTGCGGGTCCGGGACCTGGTAGGGCGAAAGAGGGTCAGACCCGCCTTAGGTGCAGGTCCATAACCGTGAGCGAGAGAGAGAGAGGGTAAGGGAGGATGAGAGAGTAGAGAGAGAGGGTCGGACCCACCTAGGGCGCGGGTCCGTGACCTTGGGCAAGAGAGGTAGAGAGAGTAAGAGAAAAGAGAGGGGGAGAAGCCAGGCCCGCCCTAGGTGCGGGTCCGTGATTTTTTTTAGACGAGAGAATGAACAAAGAGAGAGAGAGGGGGGAAGCCTGGACCCACCCTGGGTCCGAGTGAAGAGAGAGAGAAGAGTGAAAGAGGGCTCAAATTGGGTCCGAGTTGAAGAGAGAGAAGGAGAAGAGAGAGTTCTTGGTCCTTGTGGGTTGAGGCTAGGGTCTAGGCTCTAGTTGTATGCACTTAAGTAGGTTGGGATAAAGTAAGGTGCATGGAAGCTAGGGTATATGGGTTAGGCTAGTGTGTATGGAAGGTAGGGTGTAGGAAAGCTAAGGTAGGGTGTAGGGTGTATGCAGTAGGATTGGGATGTAGGAAAGCTAAGGTAGGGTGTAGGGTGTATGGAATAGGATTGGGAGTTAGGAATCCTAAGGTGTATGGTAGCTAGAGTGTATGGGGTAGGGAGTATGGAGTTTTAGGAAGTTAGAATTTTGAGGTTCTAGGGAGTGAGGGTACCTAGGGGTAGTTTCTCTATGTAGGAATTGTTTCTCTCTCCTCTCTCCTTGAGTTTTGGATTTGGGATCAAAGCAAAAGAAGAAGTCTAAGCTCTTAGAATTCTCAAGCTCTTTCAATTGATTTCCAAAACTCATTTACAAATGATTTCACTATGCTTATATAGAGTAACCCCAAAACAATGGTGGATACTCAAAAACCTTTAGAATTGTTGAAAATTATACATTTAAGGAATAAAAATATTAATCCCATTTTTTGAATTAATGACCAAAATACCTTTAGGCACTTTTCATGAAATGACAAAACCATCTCTCCATGAGGGGCCTTTTGCCATTGCTAGGCCCCAGGAGCATTTTCGGACGTTTTCGGTGGCAATTCGAGCGATAAAACGTCGTAGAATCGATGCTTGGATTATTACGCACATTTTGATACCCATTGATCGTCTTGGAACGGAGTTTTAAGGAAGAACCTAAAATCCGGCCAAGTTCATAAACTTTTGATTCTTCGACCACCGATTTGGCACGATCCGTGATGTTCCGAGACTTCATTTTGACAAAAAATTGAAGAGGATACTATCACGATCATTTTGTGATAAATTTCATCCATTTTGGTTTCCGTTTGAGCACATTCCAAATTTGGGAGGTCGTCAGAAAATGAGATTCCGGCGACCAGAAAAATGTGCCTTCTTCAACCTCAAAATTCGGTGTCATCCGGCCTCCGATCACATATAAAAACATGTCAAACTGAAGCTCTTCGAAGCACGGTCGCAACAAACCCATACTTGCGAGAATTTGACATCGAGATCTTGAGCTTTAGCCTCTCAAAGATTGAGATGTTTCTCTTTTTAAATCTGAATTTTCTAGTTTTGAGTCCATCTTCTCTCTAAGAATTCTCTCGTTTCGAGCCATGCCATGATGCGCGTCATATGTCAAAATGAGCATATTGACGAGATCTAGCTGGTGTCCGATTTTGAGCGTAATTGGACTCAAAACGAGCAAGTTATGAGCACTTGAAATTTATCCCGCAATGAGAAAACACAGTTTCCATTAATGGAAACTGGTTTGATTGCATCGCAATAGTGTAAAACCCACATTGTTTTTGGTAAGTTAGGCCCAGAATGGTCGAGGAGGGTCTGATTGAGTCGAAATTGGTATTCGGGGGGTTTTCGACATTCGGGATCCAATGGCAGTGGTTTGATACTCTTTTGAAACCCATAAAATAGGGCTGTAGTTATATGATCCATTTTCAGCATGATGGGAACTGGATTTGAAAACTGAGTTTCATCCTGATTGGCTTAAAACTTGTCGGAATGCGACGAAACTTTATGGGTGTCCTTAGGGCATCCAAAACTACCCTCATGCAATTTAAGGCCATTCTGACACTTTTTCGGAGGTCTCCTAATATCATGCTTATTGCTACAGTGTTCCGTGGCCTAGCGGCGTTTTTGGCCCCAGCGGGACCAGGTTACTACCGGCTCTCTCCTTATGCGTCATGGGGATACAAGTACGTCAAAAATGACGTATAACAATGAGGAACAAGAAATTAGAAATCCATGCTTTTCAATCCTCAAGTCTTGCATTGTTTCTAGATAAAATATTTTTAAACTCCTAGTGCAATTCTATTTCATTATCTCTTCAATCAGAATTTATCTTCTTTCAAGGGCCTATCTATCCCTTTTTCACACGTTTATCCAATTATTTAATTTTTTTTAAAATCTATAACTATGGCTAACACTACTACAATAGCAATATGAAAGATATTGCCTTCTTTTGCTGTTTGAATAATTTGATATTCTTCTATTCTCATTGTATATCTACTCACTCTCCCATTGCAAAATCATGTGATTATTTACGTGATCGGGTATCTCATATCAATGTATTATTCTATTGCATGTTTACGAAATTATTTTACATGAATGCTTATTGCATATCTACTTACTCTTGATTGCACATTTACGTGATTATTTATAAGATCGCTTATTTCATTTCTACGTGCGATGCACGTTAATCCCACTAGTTTTCAAATATAAATGAAAGGTCCAACTTCAGTGCGCTTACCTTTCCTCTATATGAAACTAACTCAGTGAAACAATATTAACATAAGGCATGTTTGGGTGAACGACTACATACATTTAGTTCTACTTTTTGAACACGCTAGGTTGGGAAGTGCTCCACAATGTGTTTGTCCTTGTCTATGTCGAACCCGGTTTGTTTAAAAATGCTGCAAATATGCCCCTCTATCCATTTTGTCTCATTATAAAAAATACTTTGAGTCATGTTTAATGGCAATTGATAAAACACCTGGCATTGACCACAAACACACCCTTAACGAATGCAATTGTATAAGCAGTGGTCTTCCTAATTTTTATGTGATTCTTATCCTGGTTTTGAGTTGTGATTTTGCTATACAGCTACTGATCAATGCTTTCACCATTTATCATAGAAAGCTTCTCTATGTCTACTTAAATTTTGAACTGCTTCTATTATTAAGTACATTCATGCAATTTTTTATTTGTGTATTCCAGGCGGATTTTATAGAAGAGCTCCTTAATGGAAGGTTTGTTCAAGAGCAGTTTGGTCCTGCAATGTTTACATCATATCACTGGCAGGTTTGTGGGCTATCTCTTCCTAATCATGGCTTTGTAATTTGTCTGTTAAAAGATAGTGGCAGACTTTTCAGTGTTGGACCTGGCATGGTTGGAAGTGGCGATGCCTGTCTAAAACTGTTGCATGAGACACTGCTAAAACACCTGGAGGAATCTGTCCTAAACGGATAAGTGTAAATTTAATTTTTGCTCCTATTTTATCACTCGAATATCAAACTTTCAGTTTTGATATTTTATTTCTTTTTCCACTTTCTTCGAACTGAAATGCTTCTTGAATCATTATCCAAGAAAAAGGAGATACATTTAAAACACATTAAGTGAACCTGTGAAAGGCATATAACCAAAAACATGCTATCCTTTTAATTGATAGGAGTACAAAAAAAAACAAACAAATGAGAGCACATTTTTCTCCTGATTTTCATGCTTTTCAATACCAAGGATTTCAAGTGTCTTACCATGTGCTTGTCAGTGATGAAGTTTTGATCATTTTGTCTTCTGGCCTGGCTTTTCTTAGTCTTATGAAACCGAACTTCCCAATTGAAACCATGTGCTAAATATTTTAAGAGCTTGTGAATATGAATGAGCAGTTTAACTTTGCGGATATAAGTCATGAAGATATCTATGATATATTTGGAGAAGTTGCATCGAAAGGTCTCTCTGGGGAGTCACTGAAAAAGCTCCCTTGGCATGTAATCACAGAGGAGAACAACAAGGATGACGCTGGAGAAAGTATCAGTTGCACAATCTGTTTGCAGGTGCATCTTTCAATCCGAGACTCACGAAGTTAATGTGAGAAAGGGAAAGATCGGTGTTTAAAAATTTGCTGGTTCATCTTGGGACTTGTTTGAGTTGTGGCTCGGATGGGAGTCCTGGCAAGTCCGAAGATAAAACCTTGGGATTCGCCCCTGGTTGGAGGTTTTTCAAACAAATTAATACATTATTGTTTAAAAATACCCAGTCAAACTCTGGACTCTCCTAATTTGGACTGATTGAGTCAGGCTCGGGACCTCGTGATTCCACCCAAGCCCATGTTTTTAAACACTGGAAAATATTAGTGGCGTATCCATGGTAAAATGATTTTTGTTTTGTTGGGTTGTTCTCATGTTGTGATAGTGGCTGTTGTCAGGAAGTTCAACAAGGAGAGAGAGTAAGGAGCTTGCCTTCATGCCACCACACATTTCATATGTCATGTGTAGACAAATGGCTTATCAGACATGGGTCGTGCCCGGTATGTAGACAGGATGTGTAGTGGTGCCCTTTTGTGCTGTACAGAAAGAAGAAGATGAGAGATATATAGAGAGGAAAAGAGAGAATAGGTACATGCGTTCGCTTCCACAGACGCACGGCGCATTTGCATGTCTCCATATCTATGTAAATTTTGCACCACTCGCACTCTTTCCCTTCACGCTCTGTTTTTTTTATTTGTTGTACCCTTTTTGGACGAGTCTCTTTCCCCTCACTCTTGTTAGTGGACATCCCTCGAGAAGGTTATCTGTTGTATATATCTGAATAAAGATGTTAACTTTTGATGTAGATCCCGTTCACTCAAAATGTAAGAGAGAGAGAGAGAGAGAATGCTCGGAATGATAAGCTTAGTGGGATGATGAAGGTTTGATATTATTAAGGTTGGTTGCTTCTCGATGCGGTTGTCCTCATGTTGAATATACTATTATTCCTTTCCATTCACTCCTCTTTCCTTCTCCACAAATGACCACTTCTTAAGAAGGAAGGAAGCAACTATGCGCACTATCCACTTGGGAGAACAAAAGAACAATCTGGGCCGTCCACTGGCTGCAGAATTGTGATTCTGCGATCTCCAAATCTTCTAAAATGATTTTATTTACTATTGTTACTATTATTATAATTATAAATATTAGTCATATAGAGATTGAATAGGCAAAGTGTCCAGTCCCATTGACACTATGGAGAGTCAACGTTTTCCTTTTTAATATGGATGTCTAATTATTAAAACATTAACAATTTAAAATGAAAGGGTACCTCCTTGTAGAGAATCTGAATTGCCCTTTAGTTAATCGAAAACAATAAACATCAATATCTACATCATATAATTTATTATTGTCATTAATGACCATCCAAAACGGATCGGATTGGATCCCAGCAGAAAGGAAGGAAAGAGTGGTTATGTATGGAATAACATCCATATATTTTATAAATATTGCATGAAACTCAATAAATTTAATATATATTAAAAGGGTGTGGTTTTTATGAAAAAGTTGCGACCTTAATCAATTCAAGTAAGGCGCACCTCTAAATTTTATCATAGATCTAAAAAATTCTTAATATTATTTGAAATCTATTTTCATATCTAATTATAAACTTCAAAAATAGTCAAAATCAAATAGATCTATAAACCTACGAAAATCTTGAAAATGGACGGTCTAGATAATATGTTGCAAGATGCACTATTTTTAGGACTCGAAATCTTTTTTTTTTTTCTTTTTCATATTCGTACCTTTATGTTGAGATGATCAATTGGAGGGATTTTCAACATTAAAACAACATTTTTCGATGGATTTTTGAGGTGCATATGTAATTCTACATTTTATGATTGCGATATTGAGTAAACTTTTTTCAAAACAGATGTTAGTTGGACCCAAAAAAAAATAAAAAAAGTATACAATGATATACTATTTACCGGATACTTTTATAAATATATGTCAAAATTTCTATAATATTTCCAAAGGCATTGTGAGTTGTATTTGTAATGCTATAAAGGAAAGGGCAATGTCCCCAAATTGGAGGTTTGATGGCATGGCATATTATCGCGAGGAGTGGAAGCGTTTGATCCAAATGTAATGTTGATGGATCCCTTTTGAGGTAGGGTAGTTGAGTTTATTAGTTTGTAGGCATTAGTAATTATTCGAGAAGGCCTGCAATCCACGATTGAGTGAATGAATCTTTCAATTTCACTAAAACGGACATTTACATACAAGAGAAGGCGCGCCGCTCCCCTCCCCGCCCCGCCCGCGGCCCTTCGCGGAGGAAATGAAAGAGCAAAAATCGGTTGCGCTTCCTGCCATTGCATTTCCAGCGCACCGCTTGCTTCTTTGCCTCCACTCTCTCTCTTATCTGTGATCCATTGCAAAGGACCGGACGCAACTGCGATATCAAAACACACACTCTCTCTCTCTCTGGTTTTATTTAAATAACCAATCAAAATAATATCAATCTGTTTTGGGCACTGAGACTCTCCCAATCCCTTCTCTCTCTGTCATCATCATTTGTTTGTCCTCAATAAAAAAAAAAAAAAGAAGCGCGGCTATAGCGGCAGATATGATTCGAGAGCGCATTCCATCCATATTCTTTGAAGATCCCTAAACTTTCAGGTATGCATGGGCGGGTTCCAACCCAATCCCCATCCTCTCTCTCGCTCTCTTTCAGGTATTTCATTTTTAGTTCTTTTTCTTAAAGTAAAAACTGTTGCTTTATTTTGTTTTGAAGATGTGGCGGCAGTATGAGGGGGGATATTATTCTTAGAGATGATGGAGGGTGTCACAAGGATCAAGGAGGAGCAATGGATGGCAGATCTTCTTCCTCATCAGTTGTTGTTGGGGGCCTCAATTCGAAATCATCGTTGCCATCGGTGCAGATGTTTCCGAGGACTAATAATCGGGTGCAGGTTTGGTTCATACGCGTCTGTTCCACAATCCTTCTGTGGACGTGCTTCATTCAATTGGTGGCGGTGGGAGAACTCTGGCACCCTAGCAGCAACAATTTGAGGGACAACAGCAGCAGCAGCAAGAGGGCATCATCGTCTTGGCCATCTTGCTTTCTCTTCAACAACTTCCTCGGCCTCTCCTCCCGCCTTTCAAAGTTCTCTCATTTCTCTACACTCTCAGAGGTTTCTACCCCAGCACCTCCCCCACTTCTTCCCTCGAGTAAGTTTTTTCTTTAACCTCATTTTTTTCCCCTGGTATCCTTGGAATTTTGATGACCATTTTCTTTATTTTTTAGCTTCTGTCCCTATAGAGCAAGGCTTTCTTTTCAATCTTCCTATAATGGGCATTGGAATATGCCCGAGTATGCAATTTTAATGAATTATGCTAGACAAGAAACTCACCGATTGAACAATTGTTATTGAGAAATGAATGAAAGTTGAGCCTTTAGCTGACCTCAAATAGTTATGATAAGTCTTGGATGACGGTGACGGTGACGGTGATGATGATGATGAATGAGAGTTGAGGCTTTCTCTGTTTTGGTATTGCTTTCATCTGAAATGATATATCTATTCCTTTAAAATTTGGTTGAAAATTTTCGATAAATGAGATTGGGTATTGGTGATTTACATTCATTGAGTGAAATTATCGAAGTGGCTGTTGATTTTGGGAAACATCATGCTTGAAAATACACAATGTATTTGTGAGAAATGGATCATTGTCCTTAAGCATATGCATTGCTTTAATTATTTCACATAATGTCGTTGTACAAAGGGTGTGTTTCATTTTGACAAATGAGCAACTCGGACTTGGCAAGGTGCTGAGTCCGAGCAGGAACCGGCCTAACTTAGCTGGTTCCTATGTTTTAGTACTATTACTAGTACAGACTTGGCTGAGTCTCTGATAAACTCAACTGAGTCTGTGGAGACGACTCGGACTCGGGATCGTGCCAAGTCCCAAGTCCGAGCCTTGTTTTTGAACATTAAATATGAGCTAGTTCTATAGAAAGAGGAAGATGGTTTGGCCGTTATCCGCTATTGTGACAATATAGCCTAACTTTTTTTTTTTTTTTGTTTGTTTTTTTTTTTTTTTTTTGGTCTACAACTGTCTGAAACATGTCTTTCAGCACATGTGGATGTTTGGTTCACCCATTAGCAAAACTGGAACCGGTTTAGTTCCCTTGTAGCCTTTATGTTGATTGATTTTCATAGTCCTCTACAGTATCTTGTGAGGATCTGGTGATTCCATAGCTTTAGGGGCATCTGATCTAGTTAAGGACTGCAGAAGTGTCTTTTAAGAGATGCATGGACCTTTTGGTGCTATGCTGCGTAAATGTTGGCAGTAGATTCTCAGTTGCAGTTTGTCTTGAGTGAAAACCAGTTTTTGTTACTGCTCCCATTTACCCCAGTGCAAGTTTCGTACTAATGATGTTACAGCATAAATGTATCTGTTTTAGTTAAAACTTTCTGGACATGTCTAGATGTGTAATACAAGATCTGATTGAATGAATCATATGCAGGAAATTATAAAAGCAATGGTTACCTCAGAATATCTTGCAATGGGGGCCTGAATCAAATGCGTGCTGCAGTCAGTAGAGCTCCCCTTTTTTTGATTTATCACTTTCTTTCAGAGTTAAGTTAATGGAAAACTTACTTTTTCCGTTTCCATTATGGCTTCCAGATCTGTGACATGGTTACTATTGCGTGCTATTTGAACCTGACATTGGTGATTCCAGAGCTTGACAGGACATCTTTTTGGGCTGATCCGAGGTATGTGTATCAATCTCTAACATTCTGAGTTTTATTTACTCCTCTAGCTGAAGTATGTCATCTTTCTATTTTAATATGTTTTTGAGTCCAGTTGGTGATGGTATTTTGTACATGACACACTTCTATGCCTACCCTATTTGATTCTGAAATTGCTCGTGTTTCGATTTTATTCTGTGCAGTACATTTGGTGATATTTTCAATGTGAATCACTTCATTAATTCATTAAGAGATCAAGTCCGGATCATAAAAAGGCTCCCAAAGAGGTTTAGCAGGAAGAGTGCAAGCTATTCATTGAAGATGCCTCCAGTAAGCTGGTCTAGCGAGAAATATTACCTGCAACAGGTTAGACTTGGTAGATGGGAATATGTCCTTGGCTTAGTCTTTTAAACTCGCATATGAAAGGCTGCCCTCTTATTGATAAAACAATATTCCCAAACAATTTGGAGCTTGGTTATCATTAGTGCCTCAAGGCAATATGAGATACTGCTTATAATAAAACAAAAGAAATTATTAACTGGTCCATTGAGAAATTGACTGGCTAATAGGTACACTGTAACCTGTATCCTGAACAAGAATCATATCGATACCATCATATGTGCATCTTTCTTCTTTTCTTTTTTCTTTTAATTGTAATTGTGCATCTCTTGTTATACTTCTAAAGTTTAGCTAATTGGGTGATGAACACATCGTATCATATTAGCATGGCTCCTGCACTTGGTTTTCTTTTCCTTCCATAAAGATTCTCTTTCTGCTTTTGCATTGCAGATCGTACCTCTTTTTAGCAAATATAAAGTAATTCATTTTAACAAGACGGATGCCCGTCTGGCCAACAATGGGCTCCCTCTTGAGCTTCAAAAGCTACGCTGCAAGGTTAACTATAAGGCACTGCGATTTACTGATCGAATTGAGGCCTTAGGGGATAAACTAGTTAAAATCCTTGAGAAAAAGGGATCTTTTTTGGCATTGCACCTAAGATATGAGATGGACATGCTGGCATTCTCTGGGTGTACCCATGGCTGTTCAGAGGAAGAAGCCGAGGAGCTCAAGCGGATGAGGTTTGTTACTAGATGGTGCCATTCCTTTTTTCCTGCCCTATTTGATGATATCACAAAATTAGTGGCTCCCTTTCACAAATACGAAACAATGACTTTTTAAATGCCCAAATGAAATGCCTGAATGTTTGATGTGTTCTTCTAGTTCCGCACATGATTTGAGGGGTATCCTCGACCATAACTGGATACTATATGTCTGCCATTGAACTATCCCATATATTCAGTCACACTCTGGTCTGTCCTCAACATCGGTATAGGACTGCACAATTGATCATTTAGCTCTTTGAGTTTGACTGCCAGAAAACATTTATACTTTGTTCTTTCTTGTGCGTACAATCATTCTTATCAATTTTTCATCGTTAAAGGTTTCTATAAATGCTTGGAAATGTAAGGGGTTATTAGTATCTTTTTGGTTAGCCGAAATCATGATTCCACTTGTTTTCTGGAGTACCAAGCATTTCAAAATGAGATCTTTTCAGTGTCTCTGAAAATACTTGAATTATCATTGTGCAATGTGATGGAAATGGAATCATATTTCAAATGCATCTGTGGCAGAGTACGTTGATTGCTTCTCTAGATCGAAGGATGGACAATATATTTTGTAATTGTCCTTCTTAGGAAAGGATTTCGCAGTTACAAGAAATGATTTTGGTTGGTATTAGCTGTTGTTTTTCTGTCTTATTATAATTAGTTTGAATGATTTCTGTTTACATATTTTTGATGTCCTCATTTAGGTATGCATATCCATGGTGGAGAGAAAAAGAAATAGTGTCTGAAAGGAAAAGATCGGAGGGTTTGTGCCCCCTTACACCAGAGGAGACAACATTGGTGCTGCAAGCCTTGGGCTTTGAGAAGGACACTCAGATATACATTGCTTCTGGTGAGATATATGGGAGTGAGCGTAGGCTTGCTGCATTACGAAGTGCATATCCAAGAACTGTAAGCTTTTCTTCTGCCCTGTTTTCGTTTTTCTTGATGAGCTGATGACTAATGTTAAATTGTCTATTCGCAAATGAAAATTCACATATGAATGTCATGCATCCTTAGCAATCATTGATGGCAGTGAATCTGCACTTCAAAATCTCAGGAACAAATAGTTCAATCCATGTTTATTTGTTTAACTCTTCATTAGGGCATGTTCGTCACGGTTTCCAGTAGCTACGTAGAGGACCTATCTCATTTCATCGAAAATGGCAGTTCATATGATTAGGACATGTTTTAAAATATGGAAAAATAGAAGATTGTTTTATTTAAGAAACAATAGAAGATTGCTGGAGTTTAAATACAACAGTATATACGTCTATTTATTTTAATAAAATTTACTGGTACAAACCAAAAAAGAAAAGGTAAAATATCCCTTAATCGTAGGTTAGGTACAAGTTACATATTGGGGGATTTTAGATGAGAATTTGCCGAAGTGTATGCCGGGTGCATGCATAACAAGCAATTACATGGTGACAAGTCATCTCTCTCTCTCTCTCTCTCTCTCTCTCTCCTTTTTTTTGGTGCTTCTAAAAGATTTGTTATGGTGGCTATGCAAATCATGGAAAAATATATTTATTCATATATGACCCATTGCTGCCAAGAACGCTTTGCTTTATCACAATTTTTGCAGTCCTATGTGGTTCAAACTAAAGCATTGCTCCTTTTTATCAATATTACATTACTAGAAGTATGGAGATAAATCTAACAATCTCTTTTTCTTTTCTCCACTGTTGAGAGAAAAATTTAATATTTAAAGAGCTGATTATGTTTCTGCACTCATTTTGCCACAAAGGTTGAGTCCTTAATGTACCATTTTTCATAATTGGTGTTTCTTTACTGCAATCTGATTTAGATGAAGAAGGAGATGCTGCTTGATCCAGAAGATTTGAAGCAATTTCAGAACCATTCCTCTCAAATGGCAGCCCTGGATTATCTGGTCTCAATTGCCAGCAAAGTTTTCATCCCCACTTATGATGGGAATATGGCCAAAGTAGTTGAAGGGCACCGCAGGTATGACCCCACATTAATTTTAACAATGCACATCATCTTAGGCATGTTTTAACAAATGATATTATTATATCCTTCATAATGGTAGCAGGTCATCTAGCAAGATAACTATTTCATTTCATATTAATTTTAATGTCATCATGTGCTTCAAAAATTTCCTTAAATTGTATCGATAGGAAAAAGAATTCCCTCATTTACTTCGATTTCAGACAATTAGTATTTGTTGCTTTGATGGTAACGCTCTCTGATTATAGCAGGTATCTGGGGTTTGGAAAGACAATATTGCTGGACAGAAAGAAACTTGTAGAGCTACTTGATCTCTACCAGAATAAAACTCTATCCTGGGATGCGTTTGCAGGTGCGGTTCGAGAAGCCCATAAGAATCGGATGGGGCAGCCAACTCACCGCAAAGTAACCCCAGAGAAGCCCAAGGAAGAAGACTATTTCTATGCCAATCCTCAGGAATGTCTCTGCCAGTCTACAAAATGTGATGTTCTTCTAGATGAAACAGCAATTAGTTTGTAGGGGAGAGGATCCCAACGGAACTCTCCGATCCAAAAGCACAAGGCCTGATTGCAGCACTGACACAGTTCTTTGTATCATCATTAACTGGGTTTTGCACTGTAAGTTATGGGGAAAGGAGGGTTTGAGATTCGCCTCTATGTATCTCTTCACCTTTTGTTTACCAGTTTGCTCATTGTTTTGATTTATCAACATGGCACATGTTTCTTTAGTTGCCCTTTCTGTCAAGAGGAACCCATGCATGTTTGGCATGGTTACAATGTTCAAAAGGATGAAACAAATAATAAAAGAAAATCAATTTGAGAAGGAAATACACCCATTGGGTCACTCTATAGCCTCTCTCTTGTTCAATTCTATTGTTATGGGTTATCAGCCTATGCCGGATGATTTATCGTATCTGACATTTGATACTATAATCCTGGACTCTGGATGTTGGTTTGATCCTTCTTGTCCAAAGTCAGGACTCCCAGAAGATCGTTGGTTTGATCCTTCTTGTCCAAAGTCAGGACTCCCAGAAAATTATCTCACCCTGTTCTCCGACGAGACCAAGATCCTTGAGCCTCCTCTCCTGGTAATATTCAAGCCCTTCAACCTCCTTTCCTCTGTCTTCGAATGTCTTCAGTATCTGGTTCAGCACCTTCTTCTCCCCCAGCCTCACCCCCACTGCTATTTCCAATCTCAGTTCCAACTTCCCCTTCTTCAGCAGTTCCTCATCCTGCAAGGTTCCATTTCCAGTTCTCAGACCCCTTATTTTGCGCAGAGAAAGGCACCTAATATACCAAGAAATAACATACCTCCTCAATTGTGGTTCGATAGAGAGAAAGGGCAGATCTGCAGGCATCTGCAACAGCTTTGCATATAAACTCTTCGTTTGGTTGGCTAACCGGCAACTCCAGATGACCCCAAACCGTATTCCTGAAGATGGATTCGAGGAGGAAAGCATCTGTTCCCCCAAGTGCCGCTAGCCGCAAATACGGCAGCATGCCCTCTGGAAGGCCGCAATCTAACAACAAATTGAAATATGCAGTTTCCCCAAATCCATTAGACTCTGCAATGTCCAGCTTGTCCCCAAAAAAGGGGTCTGATTCAGGAATCTCCAGTGTTAACGAGTAGGCATCTCTGCCCAAGTTGGGCTCTATGAAGCCATAATCAAGGGCCAACTCAGCATTGCTTTTCTTCAAATCATATTGGATGAAAACCTGTTCAGTCAGAATTAATCAGGCGACATGAACTAGACCCAGACAAGGGCTTGTAAGTTGCAACATTTGGAGTTTGTTGACAAGGAATGCTTGTACTGAGAAATGAGCAGGATTTCTTCTCTGTTTTTTTATTTTTGTTTTATTAGCTAGTTAGTGCAGAAGCTTCAGCAAGCTTCAACGTGGTGGTTCATACTGGAAACAGGAACAATATCACAAAGTATTGTGGAACAGAACTGGTTTACAGTTTTGGTGATTGGCTGCAACATTTATTATCGCATTCCAAAGTTCTTTCAAGATTTAATGGAGAGTACAAACCTGCTCCCCAGCATTAACAGGAAGAGGTGTCCGTAGACTAAATACAAGCTCCCGAGAGAAGAGACCACTTCCTTTGATCTGCCAAGCAACGTCCTCGGTATTTACGTTGCAGCTATGGTTTATCTGCTTCCAGAAGATTGTTGCATTCATTGGTGTTTGTCCCACAGAGAGAAGAACATGTAAAATGGGGTGGAGTGCATTTGCTTTTCAACAACTTTGTAGTGATGGGGATTCTTACCAGATCAGCAAGAGGTACTAGTACAAGATCTTTGCCACGAAGCTGTGAAAATGCCCTTGATCTTAGTATACCAAAGGCCCAGAGAAAGTCATCTACTGTCATGGATGGGAAGAGATGCTTGTTAGGGAGTATGATTTCTTCCTCCACTTTGCTGAATTCACTTTGCACGTACTCTTTGACGCCCAAGGTGGTGCTCAGCAGTTGTGTTCCTGCAGGCAGTCGTTATTAGCTCTGAGCTTTGAGAAGTATGCTTAAAAACATTTTCAGATAAATTAATCATTATGGCTGCAGGCGCTAATATATTCTTGCAAAAGAAAATAAAAAATAGAATTTTTAATAGGCGTGGTAGTATGAACCTTGTATCTCAGTAAGTTCCTCCTCTGACCTGCACTGGAACCATACACATAACATTTAATAGCAGCTCGGATAAGTTTCTTCTTTTATTGGTCAGTAAAACAACTGAAGTAGTCTAGAAAGCATGATGGCACAAAATTAGAAAAAAAGTGAAAAATAAAAACGTCAAATAAATGTTTTGATACAGATGCATGATAATTTTTTTTTTTGAGAGAGATGTATAATAAATTTTTATACCTAGAAAGCCAAAAAATGATGGCCCCAGCTTTTCTATTTCTGTTTTATTATTATTATTTATTTATTTATTTATTTGTACTGTTTTCTCTGCTGCTCTTTTGAACTGTTCATCTACCAACATTGGTTACTTTTATTGGGAGGCCCAAATCGAGCAAGTTTACTCGGTGCTTTTAATAATAATAATAATAATGTTAAAAAAACAGAAAAAAAAAGAAGAAACAATTACAAATACCATGGTTCCAATAAACTTACGTTTTGTTTGCCTGTCTAACGGATATCATCATAGACAGAGAGAGTGCAGAACGAGGTAGCTTACCAGTAGAGTGGAGAGTCCAATTTCTGAGGCAAGATGTCAAGATAAGGGCACCAGGGGGAGCCATTCTTCTTCTTCTCTTCCGTGATGATAAAGAGGGCAACGGAAATCCATGGTTTGAGACCCCCACATACCCTCCCTATTTCAGAGGCTGCAACAGTGTCGGAGTTGATCCAGAGCTTCTTTGGGACTTCCAAAACCACTTGGTTCTGTGACAAGCTCCTTTTCGCCACCAATCCCAACCCAAAATGCGGGGTCTCCACCATCTCTGCCCTCACTGCTGGTGCTACGGCCCCCCCTTTCTCGCATCCCCATTTCCACAACCTCTCCACCTTCTTATTCTCCTCCTCCTTGTTTAAGGATGTGATGAAGCTTCTTCTCCTTCTTGTTGTTTTGGAGAAAAGAAGAGTAGAGGGTTTGAGGCGCCGAGTCCAAGCCTTTGTGTTTATGGCAGTTACGTTTGCAGGGGAGGAGAGGAAGGAGATGGTAGCGGCCATGGTACTTCAGAAACAAAGGAGAAGACACATTCGCTGCGACTGATGAGGAGCCGGAGCCGGAGCCATAGCCAGAGCCAGAGCCAGAGCCAGAGCCACAACACAAGTGGATGTGCGACCTGTGGTTCAGAAAGGTCCTGGATAAACCAATCGCCGTCCAATGTGGTGATAGCCTCGTGGTCCTGATGATGACAATAGGCTGGGAATAGAGGTCTCTCTTGGCCTGGGTACTTAGCCCGACCCTATCTGGGCCCACCTGTTTAAAACTAAAGACAAACAATGAAAAAAAAGTAAAAGAAATAAGGAAAAAGTTTATATAAGGATGCTACCAGAACTACGGATACCCCTCATCGGAAAAAGTAGTTTTAATGTTAAAAAACCTTTTAGATTTTAAGATCTACTTGATTTTACAACATATTATCTATACTGTTTATTTTCAAGATTTTCAGATCTATTTGATTTTAACTAGTTTTGAAATTTAAAATTTTATAATGAGATATAAAACTAAATTTTGAGATAATTTTAATAACATTTTACATCAAAATTATATACCCATTATAGTATTTGAAGGTGCACCTTACCTCTACAGTTACGGATGCATCCGTATACAAACTGTACCCAATAAATAAATATCGAGTTGGGTAAAGCCTATCATGGCTTGGCCTAAACTCAACCCTCGGACCAAATTCTATGCCCTAGGCCCCTAGCTTTCAAGGCCAAGCCAACCAGACCGGGCCGGTCCGCCTCCCCCCCCCCCCCCTTTACCCATGGCTTGGCCTAGACTCAACCCTCGGACCAAATTCTATGCCCTAGGCCACTAGCTTTCAAGGCCGAGCCAACCAGAGTCGGCTCTATTGGGGCGGAATATTGGGCGGACAAAAACAATATACCTAGATAATGAGTGAGGATGTTGAAATGGAGGAGTGGCAAGATAAGAAGAGATAGAATTCGAAATGTTAAGTGTGGCACTAATAAGCGATAAAATAGGAGAAAATAAACTTAAGTGGGTTGGCTATGTGTGGTGCCGACCAAGTACAACATGTGTTAAGAGGTGTGAGTTAGTTCAACTGGAAGGCCTGAAAGGGTAGGAGTAGGCCCAAAAAGACGTGGTTGGAAGTAATCCAAAAAGATGAAGACTTATGACATCACTGATGATATGACCTTTAATAGAGTATAATGAAAGATCAAAATTCATGTAGTCCACCCCAATTGATTGAAAAAAAACTAAAATGATAATGATGATGATATTTGATGATGTACAAGTTTGAAGAACAAGTGGTCTCCATGTTTTCATGCACTTCAAATGCAATATCCCAATATAAGTTTTGCCCCCAACCGTTAATAACGAGTGTGCACAAAGGTTCATCAGGCAAAATTGTCACAGGGATACTGGAAACACACAATCAAACTTCATCTTGCGTGTTCAAATGCTCACGAACAATACAATCTTAGAGCACCGTTGTTGTTTTTCTTTTAGAGAGAGAATTGTATAATAAAACAATTTTATGTATAAAATGAGTGACTCAACTCCTCTATATAAAAAGAGAAATTGGCCTTTTGATTGTTAATTTTAGGCATTTTGAGTAGTCGCGCCTCTTGATTGTTTAGTAGTCATAAAACAAATTGTTAGATACAATGTATACAACTAGACAGCCAAAAAACATAGGTCATTTATGAACTTTTGGATCTAAAACGCAAGTGTAACGGGTAAGCTAAAAGGGTGTGGTTTGTATAAGATCGCAACCTTAAACAATCAAAGTAAGGTGCGCGTCCAAATGTAATCATAAGACGTAATTTTGGAGTAAAAAATTCCTAGGTTGGCTTGATAGTTGATTTTCATAGTTAATTATGTAATTTTAAATTCCAAAAATGGTTTAAGATTTATAAATATATAAAAATCTTGACAATGGACGGTCTAGATAATGTGTTGCAAGACATACTATTGTTTATACTCGAAATCTTTCTTTTTTCACATACTTTGACATCATGATGTCAGGATGATCAATTAAAGAGTTTTTCAATATCAAAACAACTTTTTTCGATAGATTTTTGAGATGCACCTTATTTCTACATTTTAAGGTTGTGACCTTATATAATTTTTTTCCCCCGCTAGGAAGTTCATTGGATGGACTTTTGGGTTGAGAAAGAAAAACAATCGCACATTAAATTGTTCTTTTGCAGTAAGGCAAAAGTTTGAACAAGGTATAAATAAATTGACCCTAAAAATCAATCACAAATTTGAATGGAATCGCATGTGTAATATGGACATGCGTGTTTACGGTTTTGGCGTGTACCTCTCAAAATCAATTTGGCGTACACTCCCTCTCAACCATCTAATTTATGATCTAATACTAAAAAAGGACAACAGCGACCGCTTGCACTAAAAGTGAATCCCCTTTGTTAAACTTGGACAACAGTCGCATTGCACGCCCTTTTAACTCCACATCCAATGGCTAAGAGAAATAGCCGTAGCGTCTTACGGGATAATCAAATTCAAATTCAATTTCAATTTCAATTCAAATTCAATTCAATTCAATGCAATGCACAAGAAAACAAGAAAGTGGGTGGGAGAATAGCGATGGAGGATGGAACAGAGAGGAATGTGGTGGGACCCTTCCCCATCTCTCTCTGTATTGTTCATAAATACATGCAAGCAAGATAGCAAGGATATTGACCAAAAGATGAAGTTTGGGAAGGAGATGAGAACTCAGATGGTGGAGGAATGGAGAGATGCTCACGTCAACTACAACTTGCTCAAGTCCATTTTGAAAGATCTGTTGCATTTCAGAGAGAGCGTTAAGCCGCCTCCACCTCGTTTCAGGAGGACAGTGAGCTTGTATCGCAGTTTCAGTGGCCTAAGCAACCGCTACACCCACCACCGCCATCAAGATAGCTCGCTTCACCAAGACAACGACCGTGTCATTCTGGTAAGTGGCAACACATCCGCATCATCACAAGAAAACTATCTTACTGGGGTATGGCCCTTGATAGAATATAAGGTAAGTCGACCCCAAATAATTTGGATAAAGCTTGGATGATAATCACAAGTTTTGTAGAACTAACTTTATAACCTCCTTATGGGATTGTTTAGAAAGAGATCATCTATATTTTACACATGGAGGTCACAATCATTCACACTTATTAGATTTCAAATTGGATGGCTTGGGAAGAAAGGTCTTTTAATAGGGAATCATATAATATTTTTTTTTACCCTTTTTGTTTTAGCAAAAAATCACTTACAAGTGGTCTTATTACAATAACACATTTTTTAAAATAAAATCAACAGAACAATAAAACCAAGATCTTAAAATTTAATGTCATTGAAATAACTATGCACTATGCTTGAGAATATAAAGATAAGATTGTAAGTAATAAAAATGAAGGGGGCCCGAGATTACTTCAAGCAGGCTTATTACACTCCACACCGAGTCATCACCATCCGATAGCGCGGGATCAATAATCAACTTTCAATCTCAACCAAAAATGCAAGTTTAGGCCAAGCCACACCAATAGAACATGAATCCCTTTGATTATAAACACAAACCCTAAGTGATATCCCTTAGCAAGCTAGTTTAAGAGAGATGAATTCTCTTTTTTGCTACACCCTAAAACCTGTAGCTACAAATCTATAGTTGAGAGATGGGAGAGAGAAGAACCCCATAAGTTAAACCTTTAGCCGAGATCTCAAAGATGAGAGAGTGCGATGTGCCCAAAGCTTTCATGAGAGAGAGAAATTTTTCTTAAGAGAGAGAAATTTTAAGTTAGGTGTGCCCCTTTGTGGGATATAAGATAAAAAGATGGGAATTAGGTACAAGAGATAAGGTGTAGAGATTTTTTGGGTAGAAACAATCCATTTTTATAAGTTTTGAACAAGATTAGGGTTTCTTAAGGTTTTCTTTGGCCTGTCTCTTCTTGTGAGATTGGATATGAACTATTGATATTGGGTAACTTGTGGGTTCAGAGATTTGAGCCATCAATTCCATAGATGGGCCATCAACATTATGAAAGGTGCACGAACCATTATCTCCCTTTCCTAAATCATTTTTCTATCAATAGAAATTATATAAATTAAATTAACTTAAATCAAAATAATGTACATACCATAAAATAGCACAAGTCTACTCAATACTTCTGCAAAATCTTTCAAAGACATATCAAGTCAATATCTTCCAACTATATGGCCACATGTCATATCATTAAAAAATAGGAAAGAAAATAAAGGGTGGGGCGTGCCACCCAAGGAAGGCACTTATAACCCCCACCTTCTAAAAATATGGTGGGCCTATGTGCACAATGAGCCCCATGATATTTTTATATATTTAAAATTAATAAAAAGATTTTAGAATTTTATTTGAATATTTAAACTATTGTAAAATCAATATTTTTAATTTTATAAATTTAAATTTCATAAATAAAATATCCATCTGTTCATAAAAATTCAAATAATAATTGTAAAATAATTTATATCATAAAACAAACATAATTAAATTAATATGATGGGAAAATGATCCATATGGCATAGGAATCAATAATCATGGGGCAATCCCCCTTCAACTGTGGACTACAGACCACACTTGCTTTATCTGACCGATCCAGTGTTTCTCATGACCCACAGTCCAAGTAGGAGCTCATTAGCGGGTCACCAAAGTCTGACCGATGAGCCAAGGGGTCGCAATCCTAGTCTGTGGATTACATGTCCTCCTCTAGAAACGAGTCAAGGTCACCTAGACCTGATGCGACCACAGCTCTATGGCGCATAGGGGTATCACTCGCATATGCATACGCTTTACTATGAAAGGTGGCTTACTTGCTTTCTCGAACGATCTATCAATATGCATGCCGTGTGATGGCATATGGATGAGGCTTTGGCCCCCGTCTCTGTAGGCCACCATCATAAACAAGGGTCACACAGTTCCTCAGCTCACTCATTTGGGCATATGCTCCAACTTCATTAAGGGATGACCTATTAAAACCATTCTCGATTTTTTCTCTATGCCCAGGTAACATGGGTTTTTCCTAACCGACTGGACTAGATCATCAAGCACAGTTCGGTATCAACAAACACCATTTGCTTAGTATGACCCACGAGGGACCACACTCCCACTTAGTTCATGTTCCACTATATTATTTCATTTTACAAGCACTCATAAGGCTACATAAACCCAACATTAGGTGAATCAGGAAGTCTGAGAATTATTTTTTTGGAACTTTATGTCGACACTCTTACAACCACCTATTTTGAAATTTAAGGGACAAGAATGATTATGACCTTCATGTACAAAAGATAAATTGTCTCTTTGTAGACAGTCCTATGACTTATAGCCTTACATGTTCTTGATACATTTGAATGCAGAAGTGTGGTTTATTACTTGTATTCGACCGATTCTCAAGCGATATTGAATTCCTTGACATACAACATTATGCTGGAATATTATAGATCAGGAGATCCTTGTGTAGAGGCATTTCCTTTATTTGAGATTATTAGAATTTGGAAACCTGTAAATCAATTTTTATTAATTGTTTTTATTTTTTGAGAAAATTAGACTTTGTATTACACATATGTAGACATTTTGGTTGATTAAATCAAGTTTAACATTCCAAAAAAAAGGAGATCTAGTGTGAGAACACATGCTTATTAGTGTCTTATCCACATTTGTCATTTTTTAGTAAAGTAGATGGGTATTCAATCCTTTTCCCTCCTCAAATTACAATAGCTTCTAATGCTTTCTAAAACAGTAACATCATTTGGTGTGAATGGAGTATATTTATTGAAATCTAAAAGGGGAGAAACTAAGCAATAGTTTGAATTTGTAGCAGGCATGTGTTTTCTGGTCTTCTTTATCATGGAATGGCCTTTCACTTTGGCACTTTCTTTTCCACTGTTTTTGTGGTATTCAGGTTGTTATGATTGTGTAATTCCCACCATTTTCTTGAAAGCTTGAAAAGTTTTGACTTAGCCACCTTAAGAAATGAGAGTAACTGATATCAATAATCCAATTTATCTTTGAATCCCTATTTGCTAAAGCATCATAGTTTGGTTCTTTCAGGGTCGAGATTAGCATGAGAGCTCCTTTATTTTTTGTGCTATGGTTTACTTCTTTAGCTTCATTATGAGAATATACAAGGATATACTCGTTGCTTTCTCCATTCCTTCCTTCATCAACACCTTTTGATGTACCAACATCACCCTGAATGAACTTCAATCTACAACTTTTTTCTTCATGCCCAGTACCTTTGCTCTTGCATCATCAAAAAATAGTAGGACTTTGTAGCTTTTCTCCATCATGAACATTTGATTTTTGTCATTATTCGTGGAAAATCATTTTGCTTATATGAAAAAGAGAATCTTGGGGGCTTCATCTTTTCTCATTCTAGAATGAATTTGTTCTTATGATAGGTAGGGGATGTTGCTCAACCTTTTGTGGAGTTGGAAACCTTTCTTATATTTCTCTTGGGTATACCTTGCACTGGCATCTCTAGTTCCTAATAGTTGTAGGAGTATGAAGGATTGTCCTCACTTGAACATCTTTTGTTGCATTGGAAACTTTCATAGGAGATGACACCATGCTGCATATCACTAATTGGCTTCGTCTTGTATGTTATAACTTTATTAGGTGAATCATGTGCAACAAGATGGAATGGAGGAGTACGAAACGGAACTTCTCATGTCATCTGATGAAGGGGCAGAATATGAGAAGGTTTTTTTCAAGAGGCTGGATCTAGAGTTCAACAAGGTTAATCTATTTTACAAGACAAAGGTAGAAGAGATGATGAGTGAAGCAGCTTCACTGGATAAGCAGATGGAAACCCTGATTTCCATGAGAATTATTGTTGAGAAGCCTTCTTATGGATCAGATAAAAGGCCAAACAACTCAGATTATTTTTCTACCAAGTTTGCATCATCCAAGGATGCATTGGGTGATGTTAGCAACTCAGGTGATTCTTGCAAGTTTCATCTTCCACTGTTTCCATCAACATTAAAAAACGAAGATCCTTGTCTATCAATATTCTACTGACTAGAAATTTTGTTACTACTACCAATTGCTTGTTCTTTTTAAAAATTACTGGATAGGTTATGAAATTGATTATATGTTACTAGTCCAAGTCATCTCTTGCTCAAAAATCTAGTAACCATTTTGCTGTTGAACTTGGTTTTCTCCTCTCGTAATGTTCAACTTATGTCCATTCATTGGTATTTAAACCATGATAACATGCGTTATCTTCTGCTTGTCATTGCTAGTTTATAATTGGATAGGTTATGAAAATCGTTAGAGACTTCATTAGTCCAAGACTCCACGTTATTTCTCGTAAAGAAACTCCAGTAACCATTTTCCTGGCAACTTTGGTTATTTCTTTGGGTATCTTCCTTTTTATTTCCAATTTCTTGGTATTTAAGAAAGATAATATGCATAGCTTGACATGATTAGTACTTTGTTCTGTTTCATTGAATGCTCATTATTATATGGTAATGTTTCTGAATTGTATTCTTAACCGATTTTACTTTGAGCTCTGAAGTCCTAACCATACTGGTACTTCTGTTTTTTTTCAAATTGCATGCTGTAGAGATCAATCGCATAATCGCTTGCCACTTTTTTTGTTGAACAGTCTAGTTAGCATTACACACACGCAGACACTCTTCAACATCCACCTACAATCCTCTACTGTTGATAAAGTTTTTTCCTTTTGAGATTGACGTGGGTCTAGTTCTGTAGATTGAGTTGATAATTATTTATTCCAATTCGTTGGATCTTAAATTGATTTTGTCATGATAATCCTGACGTAGGATGGATTAACCAGAAGATCCTTGTCTATGTTCAGTTAAATTGGATTGTCCACAACCCTTGTACTGAAAAGGTGATGCTTATGCATGGTTTAGAAATGATCAGAATCTTTACTGTTCTTCTACAATGGGCTCCATTGGTTTGTTTACTATTCTTCAACAATGGGCACCATTGGTTCTTTTTCATTTCTATCTTACCATCATGTCTATTAGACATTTGAAGGATTGTCTAATGTGTTTTGATTTTAGAACAGCGTATTATTATATCTCTTTCTATCAAATGAGAGTCTTCTTCCTGCTGTATAGGGAATTACCACATGGATGTAACAATTGAAGATGCTAAGAGTGGTGAGATAACTCAGAACCCTGATTCAATCTTGGTTCGACCAAAGAAATATAACAGAAGAGCTCTGTCAGAAAAGTGGAATGGACTAGTCATTGAAAAGGTACCCATTGAAAATTTTAAGAAAGTGGAGATCAATATCACCCCTGAAACTCCACACTCCACGATAAAGGCCTTTCTGATGGACCCCAAAAACAAAGACCTACATTTAACCCGGCAAGGCCTGAAGAAAACGGAAAAATTACTACGAAGGGCATTTATAGAATTTCATTTGAAACTCCTCATTTTGAAAAATTACCGGTAAATATTTACCCTCTTCCTAAAGGTTTTAGTATATCTGCATTTTTTATCTTTTGTTTATAAAATAATTGAGCAGATCTATTCTCTTTTTTTTATACCTTTCTTCCATTTTTGTTGGCTTGTGAATAAATTCATAAGAGTATGTGTTTGCTTTTGCATTACTATTAGAATTTTATTAAATTTCGATACTTTAATTTAATGTTCTAATCTCTGGCAATGGCTGCAACAGTGCCTTGAATCTTTTGGCATTCTCCAAGATCATGAAGAAGTATGACAAGGTCAATCAAATCCCTAAAACTTTTCTGATTTCTGATTTTGGATCCTAAGATCTATCTAATCAACATAAGACATAAGTTTTATTAACTCTATGCATGACTCATTTAGAAAAGGAGTTAATATCTAAACAAAGGAAAATGATAGTCACTTACCCAGAGCCTTACAGACACAAGTATCTGTAGAAACCCCACCCACCCACACCCCCCCCCCCCCCCCCCCCAAAAAAAAAAAACCCAAAATTAGAAAAAAATCAGAAAAAAAAGATACGCTATGCATTGCTAAGCAGCAAATCTGTAGAAATAAAGAATAATACATTTGATGGATGATTTTCCGCAATGATTTCTTGTTCTAACCTTTGGCTGAATGAAAGAGTTAGCTTCTCTCATCACCATCACAGCCTCATCCCAACTACTTGGGGTCGGCTAAGTTAGCTTCTCTATGAAATGAATTTTATTAAGTAATTAATATGTCCTATTGTTCTTGGAAACTCTGACTGATCTTTTTGGACAGGGAATTCATGCTTTGGTAATGCAAATTGTATGGAATCTTAAAACACTGCAACTAAACTATATGATTTTGTTTCACTACAGATAGCAGAAAGGCATGTGTCACGGTCTTACTTGGTGATGGTGGATAGGTCTTACCTTGGCAGTTTTGAGGAGGTTTGTTTTCAGATTTTGAGAGATACAAAGATAATGCAAATTTACATTTACTCTTGGAGATGTCACTGAAATTTTCTAGTGAACTTGTATCTTATGTTTCTATTTTGTTTTTTTTTATCGTAATTTTCTTTCATTAGTGGTTCTCCCACAAATTATCTTTGTACTTAAACTTGACCATGGTCTGTGGACTAATTCACCTCCACTTCTTCCAGGTTATCAGACTTTTGGAAAGGGTCGAGGCTACCTTCATCAAGCACTTTGCAAATTCAAATCGTGCAAAAGGGATGAGGGCCTTAAGACTACAAGCCAAGAAAGAAAATTATAAAATAACCTTTTCCTTAGGTGAGATGCCTCTAACTTGTGCTCGAATTATATTTTGAAGTTTCTACATTGCCACCTTCAGTTAGAATGTGTGACATTGGTGCAACATTTATCTGGGAAAACCATTGCTTGCAGGCCCCCTTTACCGTTTAACAACCCATAGTCATGCCCCACATGTGCATGATGGAATCCTTAGTCATTTGTTACGGAGGAGTTTGATAAACTGCCATGACTATTGATTCCATATTGCTCCTTTATGAAGCCTTGGGATGCTTATACATAACTTAGAATTAGGAGATTGTGGTGTAATATGCATTTTTAAAGTATTATTCACAGTGCGCAACATCATTCCTAATCAGATAATAATGATGGATATGATTCATGTTGTTCTTATCATTATTATTTACCTGAACATATGAAATGCATAGGAGTTTGGCATGGAGATGCAAAATCAATTGTATAAGTGATGCTATTACGTGTTGGTTATATCTTACAAGATTTCTCACTTGTGATGGGCTGTAGCTACATGTGCAATTGTAGCCATGGGTTTGACACTATTACGCAACCTGCATCTTGCATGCCCTTCTTGCTGAAATTTTGGCTCCATCAATAGGTTTGTTTCCATTGAATATTTGTAGAGTTTCTTGAAGCTGGGTTCACTTGAAGTATGTGAAGCTTCATGAGTGTTTGGATGAGATGGTCATCTCCTGGTTTCTTTAGACATTTTAACTGACGCTTCATGAGTGTTTGGATGAGATGGTCATCTCCTGGCTTCTTTAAACTATTTTAAAATGTCTTTTGGAACTCTATAAGTATAGCTTTGTTTATGCTGTCCTCCTCTCATCTTCTGACCATTCATGCGAATGGAAGTTCCAAACTTTTCTTATGGTTATGTTTAACGAGGATATGAAGGCCCTTATAACTTGGACTTAATTTTTACAGGATTCTTCACTGGTTGCGTACTAGCCCTCTTGATGGCTCTTAGCATACTAATCCATGCAAGGAAGATTCTTAACAACCATGGTGGTGCTCAGTATATGGAAAATATCTTTCCTCTTTATAGGTAATGCCTTCATGAGATTCAAAAAAATATATCATTTTAAGATCTTTTGAAAAGTCATAGTATATTGATTATCAAAAGAGTGTGATGTCTTTAATAGATTTGTCCTATTCCAAGTGTAATTTTCATTTCAGATGTTTTCTCCTTGGAATAGGACAAATCTATTAAAGACATCACACAAATGACCACACACAAATGCAAGTTCTCTGTGGTATACATCTCTATTTGTATGTAATTTCGAGTATAACTTGATGTACACTTCTTTTAGGGGATGACAAACCATGTGCCATTTCCTTCATGACAAACTTTGTGTTTAAAATAGTGTTGGTCTGAGGGGATGTGCTGATTATACATGATTGTACATATCATGGTCCTTAGTGCTTTGTCTAACAAAATAACCACCACTGCCATGAGTGTACCGCAGTTTCTAGTTTCTGAAGGAAGTTATCTTTAGCAGCCAGACTTATCTACTAACTTTATTTTTTAATTGCCAATGATGTTTCTAACAAAATGGTCTAATTTGGGATGGCATGGTCTTCATTGCATTATGATGTTATAGTTTCCTGTGTTTGTCAAAGTGATAAGTCCTTTCTGTATTTTATTCCTATTGTTTTTTGTTTTGAGTAAAGCTTCATTGGCAGCATGTTTGGCTTCATTATCCTACACATGCTAATGTATGCGGCAAACTTATACTTCTGGAGGTGTTTTCGTGTCAATTATCCTTTCATTTTTGGCTTCAAGCAAGGAAGTGAGTTGGGTTATAGGGAAGTCTTGCTTCTAAGCAACGGTCTCACAGTACTTTCACTAGCAAGTGTCGTATCAAACTTGTACATGAAGATGAACCCAGAAACAAAAGACTATCAAGCTCTAACGGAACTAATCCCTCTAGGACTATTTATAGTAAGTTTCTTCTCGTTTACATAATTTTTCTTATTACACATATCAGCAAATAGAAGAAATTCAGGTATCATGCTTAAGTTCATGACTGCCTGAAAATCATGAGTTCCACATTCTTCTTCAAAAGATGGCATCATATCATGGCAAAAAAATTTCAATAGAAAGGACTGTCTCAGCTTGTGTCCTTTTCTTTTGCAGTTTATCCTTCTCCTGTTAAGTTGTCCTCTCAACATTGTTTTCCGTTCAAGTCGTTTCTTCCTCCTGCGATCTGTATGGCGCTGTATCTCAGCTCCCTTGTACAAGGTACATGATAAAATCTCATGAAAACAAAACATGGTCTTAGTAAGGAAGTATTAATAATTATTTTTTGACCATCTTTTTACAGGTTTCTCTTGTTGATTTTTTCTTGATGGATCAGCTAACAAGCCAGGTTTACCATGGTTCACTATGACTGTTTTAAAATGTTCTTCATTATCTTGCCTTTCCATCAGTTACTCAGTATAGACAAGTCTCATCCATGAATGCAAAATAATTACTTCACCCAAACATGGCTTAAAAACGCTGTAGTATCAACGTTGTTCTTCAAATACTTACACACCCAATTGTACCAGACCACATGCTTGTCCTGCTCAAATGTGAATACTTGTCTTAATACTTTGATTCTGCGTTCTAATAGGAACAACAGCTCCCACTCTTTGCGTTTCTATCTTTTTCTTTGTCTTATAT